GCCACCCTAACTAATAAAGGAGGTTAGGTGTGTGGGGTCTGGAAGAAGAGATGTTCTTTTTTTTTTTTTTGCCACGCTGCATGTGGGATCTTAGTTCCCCAACCAGGCATCAAAACCGTGGCCCCTGCATTAGCACAGAATCTTAACCACTGGACCGTCAGGGAAGTCCCAGAAGAGACATTCTGAGATTTCCACTTACTCCCTCCCCTCTTTGCACAGTTAACTTAGCTCATCCTTTAGATAAAGCTCAAGAGCCTCTTCCTCCCAGAAGCCTTCCCTGACTTTGGCCAGGGCTGATCCCACTCCCGCAAGCTCTCCCAGCACACGGCAAACATCACGGCTGTACTTTATATCTGTTAGTGTGATTTTTTTTTTTGATTAACGTTTATACTCCCACTGGGTTTTTAAGTATGCATTTTTCAAAATTCATAGAATGATACACTTCCTTGTGCATTTTGTTGTATGTAAATTTTATTACCTTAAAATGATCAAAAACAAATATTGAATTCTCGTTAAATGATATACATGCTGAAGAGCTCAGGGGAGAAGTGTACCGATATCTGCATCTTGGTTTGAAACGCATTAAAAAATGGGTTGACAAAGAGATGGAGAGACATGTGATCGCGCATATACAGTCAAATGCTGGCTGCAGAACCTAGGTATTGGGTATTATGGGTGTTCATTGTATAATTCTTTTAACTTTTCTGTATTTTTAAAGTTTTTCCTAATAAAATGTTGGGGGGAAGTTCAAAGAGAGTAGGAGCTATGAGTACGTTCCATAAATAGAATTATTCTGTGTACAGTGTATTTTATATTACCAATCATAATGTTCTGTGATTTGCTTCTATTTCTACTTGATACTGTGTCATGGACATCTGTCCATGATGACAGATAGACAGACAGACAGAGATACGAGAGACACAAAGACCTCATCCTTTTGAAGATATCATGGAGACACCATTATATGTTTAACTTTCACACTACTGATAAACATTTGGGCTATTTTCATTTTTTCCTATTACTGATCTTTTCCTATGATAGCTCTTCTGTGCTGCTGGATTTGAGCTTCTTTATGTGAGCTCTAGGTCCACCACCACATGTTCCTCCCCTCCCCACACCACCAACCCCCCCAGCAGGCCAGTATCCTCCACAGGCAGGAGTCCACGAGTATAAGAAAATAATAAGAAAGTCCTCATTCAAACTTCCCGGCATGATTTTCTAAAAACATCTAGATCGTACAAATCAGTACCACAAGCACATCTGAAGTCTCAGAAAGCAAGTGATACTAGCATTAATTAAATATCCAACGGATGTTTATCATGGTACTTTAGAATTAGGGGAATCAAGTCTGTAAGGTACAGAGCTGTACTTGTGCCGTGTATACACCTTATCAGAGACTTGCTGTGTTTATTTTATAAGCCCCACTTGTATAATCAGTCTGAACAGGGCACATCTGCCCAATTTATATATCCGGAGCACAATTTTAACTGCAGAAATCACTCGACAACCACAGAGGTAAAATTCTTGAAAAGTGTAAAGGTTGGCAAAGCAGAAGTCAAAGGTTCAAGAAATCAGAAAAAAATAGAGAGGATAAAGCTATAAAAATAAACATTAAATAACAAATGAATAATACGCGCAAACGCTCTGCAACAAAAGTTCTAGAGGGCGTCTATCTCCAAGTAAGCCGGACATGCCAAGAGGCCCTGCCCTGGTGCGGTAACGCTCCCAGGGAAACACTTTCACGTGGTCAGGAAAGCAAACTCTCCGAATTTTTCTTCTTTTTAAAGTTTTTGAAGCAGGGTTTACTCGTTTGGAACTCAGTGGCCTTCACACTTGCTTTGCCCCCTGTTTCATTTTCACAGGTCTTAGCAAAATGCTTGTGTCTCTCCCTAGTCGCTCCACAAATTATTACTGTCTCTAAGAGCATGTTTTTCTGGGCCAGATCTGATACAGTGGGCCTGCGGGAGGGGAGGTGTGAACAGATTACCCAACGGTCCCTGTCTTTCATCTTTGGCGGGGGAGCAGTTACTGCTGCTGTGTTCTTCCATTTAAGGGGGTTGATGTATATATCCCACAAGACTGAAAAATGGTAAAAGTAGGCATTCAAATAGAAAACCACATTAATTTAAAACCGCGACTGGCAAAACAAGAGTTGCAAAGGATTACTCTATGTTTTAAAGGACGGTAGAGGTTTTTGCTATTCTAGCTTGCTTTCATGACATACTGTTGTCTTCCTCTGTGATGTATTTGATATCACATCCCCAGTCTGGAACAGAACTCTCAATTAGTATAACAGTTTCCATGGAAACATATGATCTATTCTCTCTCGTTCCCTCGCTGTTCCCCAAGACCCACTCTCCCACTTCTCTACCCACCCCCCAACCCCAATCCTTTCTGTAAGACCCTCCAGAACTTCCATTCCTCAATCAAAAACTCTCCAATCTGTACTGCTGAGTGATCGAGAAGGTGAAGAAATATGTGTGTGGTCTGCTAACTTTTGAGGCAACAAGGACAAGAATAAATACGCATATTTCTGTGCGTTAAATTAGCAGAGAGAAACTGGAAAGATGCAAATTAACAAAACAGCTTGTATACGAGGGCAGTAGCAGCGAGGGGGCACAGAAGGATGTGAACCTGAGTGGGAGCAAAAGATTCTCAGTGTTTATCCTTTTAATATAATGTTAATCATGAACCACGTGAAAACACTGCTTATTAAAAATATAATTTAATTTTTTAAGACTCCCCGACAGCCTCAGCTTATTAGAACCTCCTCTTCATTTAGGCTTCATTCTTCCTTGTCATCAGGGAAACCCCCCCATCTTTGAAATCTAAATGCCTTTAGTCTTCCTAGCATTTTAAATCTCTTGGCCTCACCCACTTGTTTCTCATCCCTAGGCCTCTAGACTCCTTCTTCCTCCCCAAGGTTATAACCCTCTTTCTGCTTTGACTTCCTTCCTGTCTGGATGTCCTTTTTATTCATTTATTCAGGACACTTTTGCTGAGTACCTGCTAGGACAGGCTCTGTTGGATCTGCCGTGGGCATCCCTCTTCCCAGAAGCCTTGACTCCCTTATCGCTGGGATCTTCTAGGGCACCGATCCTGCTGATCACCATCCTTAGCTCAAATCCACCATCTACTTCTCCATCTCCACCCCCAGGCTGCTCAGAGCTGCTGGCAAAAAGGACACAGCGGCATGGACCTCCACCATCACTACTGCTTGTTCTCTAGCCTTTTGGACCTCCAGGCTGCTCAGTAATCTTATTCCGTGTTCCTACTCTCTATTCTCACTCCCTGCCGAGGCTCTTCAAACTTTGGGCCACAGCCTCAGATTCCTTAGTCCATCACAGCAGATGGATGGACCTTGTGGCCCATAGAGGAAATTCACGCACTCAGTCTAGACCCTGAATGAATTCATCCACAGGCACTGGAAGTACAGCGGTGAACATGACAGAGCTCCTGGCTCTGGTGGAGCTCAGATCTTAGAACAAGGAGACAAACCAACAAACAAGCAAGAGAAGTATCATCTGGTGATGGGTGCTAGGAGAGAGTTCAATATAATGGAGAATGAATGAGTGGCTCTTTCAGTGGTAGTTAGGGAAGACTTCTCAGAAGAGGTGATATCTAAGTAGAGATGGGAATTACAAGAGAGAGCCAGCTCTGCAAAGAATAAAGCGAACAGCATCACAAAAGCTCGAAGAGAGGAGGGAGCTCTGTATGTCTCAAAGAACCTCATGCGGCCCAAGCACAATGGGTGATGGGGAGAAGGAAAGGAGAAGAGGGTATCAAACAGAGAACAATTTAAACTGATCAGAATTTAAAGGGTCATGTAAGCCAAGGACACAGTATAGAATTTATTCTCCTTGTGAAGTCATTGGAGGGTTTTAAGCATGGGAGTGATTTGACCTAATGTAAGTTTTTAAAAATAACTATGGCTGCTGCATAGAAGTGTATTAATTATAGGTCACAAGAGTGGAAGCAGGGAAACCAGTTAGGAATGTCTGTAGTGGTCCAGACGGTATTGTATGGCATAGATTAGGGCTGCATCAGTGAAGATGGAGAGAACTCGGTAAATTCATGATATGCTTTGGAGGAGGACCTATCCAGACTAACTAATGGATTATGCACGGCTGGGGTAAGGGGAGGGCAAAGAGGAGGCAAGGATAACTCCCAGATTTTTGACTTAAGCTACAGAGATGGGGAAGAAATTTGATATTTTTGCACACCTCAGTTCATGGTCTGAGATTGATATGAGACATACTGGTGGCACACACAGGGATTAAAAGACTCACAACACTAAACAAGTCAGGGATACTTATAACACAATGTCAACTTCAGTAAAACTGCATCTCCTAGTACCTATAATAGCATCCAGAATCACTCTACGAGTCCCAGGTCATCCTTCAACTGTGCTGCTGTTCGAAAAGAACCATCTCCATTCTCAGCTGCAAGAGTAATCTTTTCCCAAACCAAATCTGATCATGTCACTTCTCTGTTTAAGACTTTCAGTGGCTCCCCTCTGCGCTGTGAATAAAATCCAAACTTCTCATCACAGCTTCTAAGGCTTTGCATGATCAGGCCCCTCCCACCTCTGCAACCTCACGTCCTGCAACCTCCCCCCGCTGATGACATTTTGGCCCCAGCACCTTCTGATGGTGCCTAGAATGTGCCCAGCCCTTGCCTACCTCAGGGCCTTTGCACTTGCCGTTCTCGCCGCTGCGAACATTCCTTCCCAGCTCTTTGAATGTGTGGCTGGTTCATTCTCATCCTTCAGGTCTCAGTTTCTACGTCACTTCCTCAATCTGAGTGGGTCCCTTCTTGATCTGTCTGTGACACAGCACTCCATTCATTTCCCTCACAGTATTCATTACCAACTGTAGTGTAGCTCTATTTACTTTTCACTCTCTCCCTCACTGGAATGTAAGCCCCATATGAACAGCAAATGTGCCTGCCTTGTTAGCTGTTCCTTCTGGAGCAGGTGTTACCACCCAGCCATACTGTACCTTGCCGAAGCTGCCTTTTCCAAGCACCATCAGGAAGTTAAAATCGGTCAGTTTCATCCGGTCCCTGTTCCCGTTGTTGTCAAATTTGGATATGGTGTTAGTCGTCTTTTCTTCAGGAGCCTTGGTCCCCTGATTGATCTTGGCCCTCTGGAGGGAGAAGCACACAGAAAACATCATCAGAGTTTGAGGATGCCCTTGTACGTGCTCAAACTCACGTAAAGGCCGGAAGCTGTGGGTCCCGCAGCTCATGCCCCCAGCTTGGTGAAAAGCATGGCCCAGCCTCCACAGTGCAGACCCAAAACGTGGAGGCCAGCCTTGGCACCTCACTCCTCTTTCATCCCTCGTGTCTCATCCACCACCAGGAACAGGCACTGCTTCCTCCCAGCTGTCTCTAGAATGCCTTCTTCTTTCCATCTCCACCAATACCACCTGTCATCATCTCTCACCTGGACAACCCACCTTGGTTCCCTCCACACTGGGCTTTACATGTAGTCACAGTGAGCTTCCACTTCTTCATACTCAACCCAGTCACCACCTGCTTAAAATGCTTTGGTAGTGACCCATGATTTTTAGGATAAAGACTTCAGTGATTTCACTAGCCCAGATGGCCCAGTACGATCAGGCTCTACCTGCTTCTCCAACCTCTTCAACATTTTCTCGGCTCCTTCTTCCCTGAAACACAGCTTCATCCTCCTTTCCCATCTTTGAGTCCCAGTTCCCTCCCACTTCAGGGCCTTTGCACCTACTGTTGCTCCTGTGTGGATGACTATTCTCTCCCTTTCGCCAACCTAGTTACCTCCCGCTCCACGTTTTCACTTCCTCGGGGAAGCCTTCCTTGATTCTCTCAGTCTGGATGGGCTGTGCCTATCTGCTCCCTTCATCCACCTTACTTCCCATTTACACTGCATGATAACTGTCTGTTCACTTGTTTTCCCCAACAGACTGGAAACCTGCCAAGGCAGGGAATATGTCTCATTCTCCGCAATTGCTCTGACAACCAGCACACTTTCTAGTTAAATATTTTGTTGGATAAATGGATGGATGAGGCCCATGTTTGTCCTCAGTGCAACGGGGTAGGGGCCTGCTGCTGTGCGCAGCAGAATGATGACTCAGAATGGCAGCAAACGCTGTGAAAGCAGGGGAGAATAGGAGGCCAGAATATTTGCGATTGGAGTCTAAAGTGTGGGATGTCTTGTAGGACTGAGCCCTTAACCTATGGGGTCTGCACTAACTCCAGGTAACTAGCGATGAAACTGAATTAAATTGTAGAACACCTAGTTGGTGCCCACAGAGAACTGGAGAACTTCTTGGTGTGGAAAACCCACACACTTGGTATCGGAAGTATTGTGAGAGTGTCAAGTTTTCCTCTATAGGGTATGTAGTTTTTAGCATCCAGCTTCTTTCACTCATCCTAATGGCCTTGAAATTCACTCATGCTGTTGCTTGAATCAGTGATTTGTTCTTTGTACAGCTGAGTAGCGTTCACTGTTTACATTTATTCATTCTTCTGTTATGGGCATTTGTGTTGTCTCCACTTTTTGGCTGCTAACAAGGCTGCTGTGAGCATTCTTGGTCCAGTTATCTTGTAGTAAAGATATATTAAGATTTAAATGTCTCTGGGGCGATCAAGTGTAAATAAATACCAAGTAAACAGTTGTATTATGTGGTTTTCGGGTTAAGAAATGACATAAGAACTGGAGACAGGGACCTCCCTGGTGGCACAGTGGTTAAGAATCCGCCTGCCAATGCAGGAGACACGGGTTTGAGCCCTGGTCCGGGAAGATCCCACATGCCGTGGAGCACCTAAGCCTGTGCACCACAACTACTGAGCCTGCGCTCTAGAGCCTGCAAGTCAAACTACTGAAGTCCGCACACCCTAGAGCCCGTGCACCGCAACTACTGAACCTGCGTGCTGCAACTACTGAAGCCTGCACTCCTAGAGCCTATGCTCTGCAAGAAGAGAAGCAACCACAATGAGAAGTCTGCACACCGCAACAAAGAGTAGCCCCCACTCGCTGTAACTAGAGAAAGCCTGCACACAACAACAAAGACCTGACACAGCCCAAAAAAAAATCATAAAAAAAACCCACCAAAAACTGGAGACAGATTTGGGGGTTAAAGCCTAGAGGAGGTAGTTAAAACCAGATCATTAGGGAAACTGCAAACAAGAAAAGAGCCTCAAACAGAAGTTGCATTGCTTTTTCAGGGCCATGTCCTCCCATAATCCCAAATTCTCACCCTCCAGCCCCCAGAGATTTTCCCAGGCTATCCCAATCCAAACATATCCCTCCCTCCCTCCCACCATCCCTGCTTTATTATGCTGTCTCCCATCTTCTCTGAGTCCCAACTCAGGACCCACCCACTTCACACAGTCCAATCTCCAGCCTGTGAAGATCCACATCCTGACTGTCCCTGGTCCCCAGGCTCCGTTCCAGCCCTGAGGTTTGCTTCCATCCACCTGCAGGTCCCAGCACCCCCTGCCAGTGGAGCATGACTGAGGTGCACACACTTCCCCATTTCTCCATCTGACTGCTTAGAGGAAAATTTTTCCCGGTTCTTCAAGGAGCAGCAAGTGTCCATCAGCTTGATTCCTCAGTCCTTCAAGCAACCTTCTCTCCTCTGAATTCCACGCTCCATCTCAATTTGCTTATTTGACTCTTCTCACAGTTACATGCTATAGACCGAGAATGTTTGTGTCTCCTGAAAGTTCATATGTTGACATCCTAACCCTCAAACGTGATGGTATTAAGAGGTGGGGCCTGTGGAAGAGATTAGGTCACGAGGGTGGAGTCCTCATGGGTAGGATTAGTGCCCTTATAGAAGAGACCCCAGAAGAGTCCCCTTGCCCCTTCTGCCACATGAGGACATAGTAAGAAGAGGGCCATGGGGACTTCCCTGGCGGTCCAGTGGTTAGGACTCCGAGCTTCCACTGCAGGGGGCGTCTATCCCTGGTCAGGGAACTAAGATCCCACATGCTCTGGGCGTGGCCAAAACAAAACAAAACAAAAAGAGGGCCATGAAGCAGGAAGCAGCCCCTCACCAGACAACGATTCTGCCGGCACCTTGATCCTAGACTTTCCAGCCTCCAGAACTGTGAGAAATAAATGTTGTTTAAGCCACCCAGTCTATGGTATTTTTGTTATAAGAGTCTGAACTAAGACGGAATGTTATCTCAGCCTCTAGATGCTAGATCAGAAGTCTAATAGCCTTATCGGTCTGGTCTGCACTAATATTTAAATGAGTTGAGATCTGTTCAAAATCAGGAGATGTCCTACAAAAACCCAAATCCCGGCTTCTTCTAAAGAAGCAGATCTGGCAAAACTGGGCCGCATCCATAAGGATGGGGCGTTTCCACGGGACATGGGGTCTCCAGTTGACCGTCATCACCACCACACCCTGCTGTCTCACGCTAAGCTTTTCCCCCTTCTTGTTACCTTCTCAGTTCTAAAAACATTTGGGACAAGAACCCTGTCCTGTGTTCCTCCGAACGTCCCATGTCTCCCAGCGGCCTCGTGCCTAGCAGGTCCTCCATCAAAGAACAAACATTTTTAAATTGAGGCCCAAATTTAAATGATCCTCTATCTTGCTGCGTTGGATACGGCTTCAGAAACAGGAATACACTAATGGCTACCTTTTCATGTCTGTAATTTAGAGCCCTAGGACTTGGTGCTCAAAGATAAAGCAAAGAGACACGCTTCTGAGCAAAGAGCCCTGCCTGTTCCCAGACTGCGCTACGGGAGAGTGAAGGCGTCCCGGCTGCCTGGCTCCAGGGCCCCATCTCAGATGAGGAATGCCTTTCTTGGCTTAAACTAATCTCCACCCCTACAAGGAGCTCCAACGGCACTCCCATACCCAGCAGTGGCGGGAGGCACCTCTGTAGGCTAGCGGTCCACGTAGATGCTCCCCAGCCCCCAAGCAACCCTTCCAAAGACCGAAGGAGCAGGTCCTGAGCTTTATTTATTCCGGGGGGGGGGGGGGGGTGAGGCAGGGAGAGGGCTGCTAAGGATAATAGCCATCTGACATCTGAATGATATGACATGCCGGACACTGGTTTAAATGCCATCTCACTCACTCTTCACATAACCACGGGAGGCCAGAAGTGCCACGATACATACAGGTGGGGAATCAAAAGCTCAGAGAAATAAAGTCACCTGCCTTCAGCACCCAGCAAGGAAGGGACAGAGCTGGGATTCCAATCCAGGCAGGCTGGCTCTCGAACCACCTGAACAGAATAGGCTACGCGGCACGCGTGTGGCTCCAGGTTTCCAGCCGAGACCCCTGGGCCCTCTCCTCCCTATACCTGGGGCTGCTTGCCGCTTCCACCCGTGACTCTGCCTGCAGGCTCCTTTCCTGGTCGCAGGAGCAAGCACAGCCCACAAGCAGGCCAAGTTGCAAGTGCCGGCAGGTTAATACCCCTGGAAGCAGCCTTCAGCCAGTGATGGGAGGGGAGCTCGTGGATAATACTTCAGCTGCCTGCCCCTTGACTGCAAACGCTGCGGCCCGGTTAATCCCCGGCAGGATTAAACCCCAGCTGCCCACAGTGGTAACTTGCTGGTCAGACATACTTTTCCAGCTCCCTTCCTTTCCCTGCCTCACTTTCCCACCGCTCCCGATGCTTCCTGGGCTCGCCTCCCGAAGAAACCACCTGCACTTGAATCCTTATAGTCTGTTTCTGGGGAAACTCAAAGTTAGACAATGACCAGCTGAGGGATATTAGAAAGTTGCTTAACCTCTCTGGGCCTCAGTTTCCTCATCTGTAAAAGATAAAGGGGGATGATAAAGGTACTGACCAGTCATGGTGGTTATAAGGACTGAATTAAATGACTTAATATTTCTAAAGCACTTAAAACAATAAATGGCACACAGTAAGCACTTTATTAAATTAAAAAATTCTAAGCTTGTCAGAAGACCCATTCTGAACCATGCAAAATGGAGTCTTCCCTTCCCTGGCCCATTGGCAAGGCCACAGCCAGACAAAAGTCCCCAGACAGAGCCTGCTCCAATGTTCTGAAGCATACCATGTGTGGTAACTTCACCAAGCTCACCCTACCGTGAAATTCTATTACCCCAATTTCTGCAGCTCGATGTTACTGTCACTCAGAATTTCTCCAGATAAGAGGCTTGAAAGTAATTTCTGAGTCATTCTGGGGGCTAATTGGTTACTGCACAGGGATTACATTTCTCACGTCCAAGGTCAACTGAAATTCCTCTATGTGTCTGTGAACAATTTTCGGTCTCTTGGAAACATTTTTTTAATCAACAAACTATGGTGTGGAGCAATTACCACTCAGGCGTAAGCAAGCATTTGCAGGCTCTTGCGGGAAATACAGGACACATTTTGTTGCACGCAGATAAAACAGTCCTTTCCTTCAAGCCAGTAACTGGCCCAGACAGATGCTCTGTTCATGTAGGAAATGTTTTCCTGGGTGTTCTGAAATGTCACCCTGGCTGCCCTAAGACAGAAGAAATCATTTTGCAAAACTGAGACTTCATTTTATACAAGAAAACACTGGTCTCGTTTTTTTCACCCACAAGAGGACATTTTTAACTCAGCAGCAAACGGACACCACTCCATCAGAAAGTTGAGGGAAGGAGAAGAAAAGCGTTCTCTGGAAGGCCTGCCCTCCTGTCCTAAAACGTTATCACTGTCCAGGTCTCGACTCTCCTGGGAGGGAAAGTCCTTTCATCAACTCATTTGGGCTTGAGCGAGCTGCTCTCTAAGGATGAACCTCAGTGATCAAGTACACTGGAGAATGACTGTTAAGTCCAAGGCTAACATGTTTATTCCACTTGTTTCCATGAAGGGAAGTCCCACTGGGTCAGAACCGTCACCAGGTTTTACGGAGGGCACAGGCTCAAGACAAGGGTCAGTACACAAGTATGAGTCCTATCACGTTGAGGGGACACTAAGATGGTTCTTGGAATAAATGCCAAAACCCTTGCTAGAGTCAGCAGTCCTTCTACTCTGACCCCACCCACCTCCCAGCCACACCGTGAACTCACCCTTTGCTCTCTCTTCTCTACCCACACTGGCCTTCTTTCAGTGTCACAGAGTTGCTATATAACTCCCCACCACAGGGCCTTTGCACCTGTTCGCCTTTCTGAATGGAATGCTCTTTTCCCCTCTCTACTTGGTTAACTTCCCTATTGTTTCCTCAATGACTCCTTCCCTGTCCTCTCAGACAAGGTTACATTTCCCTCTTATATCTTCTCAAAGCACCATGGGCCTCTCTTTCACAGAACCTCACCTCGTCATATTTTGCTTCTATTTGCTTGTGTGATTACTTGATGAATAACAATGACAGTAACCTACTTCATTTTAGCTATTTTATACATTTTTCAGAGTTAGTAGGCCATCATTGCTTATCTAGAATTGATGATTTCCCATCAGACTCAGTATAGTAAGTTTCTGTGAACAAAATAACGTGTTTTCCCTTATGCAACTACTTTAAAATCACTCAATACACATATAATGAAGGGACTCAAACCCATTTTCCCCAAAACGTTTTCTTTGTAAAACTGGGATGTGTCCTACATACCTGCTAGTCTCATGTATGGAGTCTATTTGGCTCCACAGAAGGGAAGGGGCTTATCTGGGGTAGAAGCAGACCAGCGCTATGGCCCAAGGTCAGAGCCAAGGGCTCTTAATCTTCGAAAAATGCATCCATGGGTATTTCACGGAGTCACCAGCACTATCAATTCCATTTGTTAATACAGCACCATCCTGCCGACAGATCCAAATCCAGATTCTATGCCTCAGCAAGTCTACTTGTCTGAGCTTCCAAGATATCTCTACCCTGTCCACTGCTTTCATTCACCATTACTAACATCCCTGTCCAAGCCACCATCAAAATGACCTGGGTAGTGAATGAACACTCTCAAGGAAAAGTCTAAATCTGAATGAGGACAGGCAGGCAGAATGACTTTACAAGGCAGGGGACATTTAACTGGGGTCTTGAAGGATAAATAGGAGTTTTCTAGAAAGCAGAACCAGATCGCAAAGGCACAGGGTCAGGAAAGGCCTTGGTAGAAACCACACCATAAACAAGAAAAACAGTACAGAGGCAGGCTCAACCGGTTCCCACTGATGCCGAAAGAAAGACATCTCACCTCAAATTTCTGCCGCAGTTCCTCATTGCCCTCACTGCCTTCCGGTGGCACAGGTACGTTGAAGTACTCGCCTTCCTCCTGGCTCAGTAACTTAAACCTAAAGGGAGCAAAGGAAAGACAAATTCCATGACTCTACTTAATATCATTTTGTTGATTAGGATAAGGGAGGGAAGTCTATAGAAAGCTCTGCTTTAAAAACATGTGTTGACTACCAAACGTAAGGTAAAGAGCTAGTGGGAAGCAGCTGCATAGCACAGGGAGATCAGCTCGGTGCTTTGTGACCGCCTGGAGGGGTGGGATAGGGAGGGTGGGAGGGAGGGAGACGCAAGAGGGAAGAGATATGGGAACATATGTATATATATAACTGATTCATTTTGTTGTAAAGCAGAAACTAACACACCATTGTAAAGCAATTATACTCCAATAAAGATGTTAAAAAAAACCAAAAACATGTGTTGAGGGTTTTATGTTTTGGGGTGTGTGTGTGTGTGTGTGTGTAGCCAGGGACACTATATATTTTTATAACCATCAGAAACACATCAGAAAAAAATGGGTTTATAGGATGCAAGGTTCTCTGTCTCTCTAAACACACACACACACAATTTCCTTGATTATATCATTCAATGTTTCTACCTACTTTTTTGGTCCATTATGTGCTTTCTGATTCTGAAAGAATGTTGAGGATCTCCCACTGTCAACGTATTCCTATCATGCTGTCCCAGCATTTCTATCCCCTTTCACTGTAACATGCTGCCACCCGGCCATCCCAGCACTTGGATGACTCTGGACTTGTCTCACTGATGCCATTTTTCTACGCAGAAACCTTCCCAAAGTGCTCGGTAGTCAAGCTCCTGAGAAAGTACACAAGCCCTGGAGTCAAACTATGCCTGGGTCCAAATCTCACCTCTTCCCTTGCCTCTTTGGATAACTGAAGCTAGGTAGGCCCTCTGAGCCTCGATTTTTCTCATCAATAAATAGGAATAAAAGTCTTTTTCATAGGGTGACTGTGAAGCTGAGACATGATGTTGCATGTAAAATGATAAGCCTGGTGCCTGGCATTTAGCAAGTGTTCAATAAAAGGTATCATCATCATTGTTACTGATATTAATATTACTATAATAAACAAGATGGTTTCAGTTTGTTTCTAGACCACAAAGATGTTTCCATCTAGTCAGACTGAGATGAGTGTGAGGAAGGAAAAGGGACACTCCCAAGGCACTGGAGTCAGCAGGGGGAAAAAGAACCCAAAACTCCTCACCCCCAGAGACTTTCTAACCAGAATTTACAATTTTCATCACAATTTTTTTCTCCATTCACAAATCTTCCTAGGCAGCTTCTAAAAATAGAGAGATAGGTGACTCAAAGCAGAGATGACGATTTGAGCCTGGACACCTCCACATTTAATATTCAGTGCTCATCTTCCAAACTGCCAAAGAAATTACCAAGATAAATACAAAAGTAAGAGAACATCTGTATCTTTGCTGGGAATCAAGAAGGGTGTTATACACGCAGCAGGGACTTCCAGGAAGTTCTGCAAATTAAAGTATTAGTAAGAGAGCACGGAGCAGTGTTTGGCAAAATTCCTCCAGCTTTGTGGATTTTGCTAAATCTGGATGTTATTTTTGACAATGCTTTTCATTAAATCATCTCTTCAAATAATAACTTCACTTTAAAGAGACACTTTATATCTCTTCTTTGTAAAGAAAGCCAACAACACTTGTTACAAGCAGAAAGTATGTATCTGTAAAAAATGAAGCATACGCAAATCAAAGCTACTCAAAGCCAAGTAGATGGTGTTGCTTACCAAAGGCTCTGAGACTCATACCTGCCCCTTTTATTAAAATGGGGGATCAGCAAGCAGCAAGGGTTAAAGAGTATTAAGGATACACCAGCGCCCTCTGAGACTTTCTCTGCAGTAAACTCAAGAACTGAAGCAACACCAACAAAAGAATAGTTTTGGGACTTCCCTGGCGGTCTGGTGGTTAGGACTCCACGTTCCCAATGCAGGAGACACGGGTTTGATCCCTCGGGGAACTAAGATCCCGCATGCTGCATGGCGCGGCCAATAAATAAATAAATAAATAAGTAAACTAAATTAACAAAAAAAGAATAGCTTTGTCAGGATACAATTCAATATGGCTGATGCCCCAACCATGTACTACCTAAGCCATTTGGGGCCCCATACTTTGGAAAATATACATCAAAGAGGATTGACCAGCTGTGATCGGCCAGTGGGAACCTCAACAGGACCCCACTAACAACCCTGGAACAGACCAGCAGGGACTGGACGAGGGTCAAAAATTCCGATCCATATTCAGCAAGTACAGGACACGTCAGCACCTGGGGCATTGGTTAGAGCACGGCACCACCACCTCACGATTGCTGTGGCCAGGACACTGTCACTATGGCCTCCGAATACGGACAACTGTGCCCATTAGAAAAGAAGAGCAGGAACCCCTTCCGACTTTGAGATGCACAAAACCAACAGGGGGAAGATGCCCCTCCATGGGGCAGTAGGGCTGCCTGCCGTGCAGCTGACTCCAGCCGTAGCCCTCTCCCAAATATCTACAGGACCAGCACCCTCGATCCAACAAAGAAGAACTCCAAAAAATACAAAAGGCTCCCTTCTCCCTTCATCTGGATGTGAAAGATTAGAACAGGGACACTCAACATTTCTGTGTTCATCCTTCTATAAGGAGGGCATGTGGAAAACTCATTAAAATAAAGAGAAACGATGAGGAATCAGATTCCCATGAAATAGAACTGGTGCCAAAAGAAAGTTCCAGAAAATATCTAACTCGTATTTTCAGTGAGATCCAAGAGGTTGATGCATCTATGAAGCAGCAAGAATCTGAGCTTAGGAAAGACTACTTTCAGAAGAAAAATATAATTAGTGAATTTTAAAATCCATAGGAGACAGTAAACACCAGGATGGATGATTCAGAAAACAACTAGTGATCAGTGGACAAACTAGGGAACTTTTTCTGGCAGTTGGCTTGATATTTATTGTATTAATTAGAGTTGAATGGAATGCTTTATACACCACTAAGACAAAATGCATATTACCAGAATTAACCTACCACATCAAAGAGGGGAATATTGCAACATATATTTCAGCAAAGATATAGTATTATCCTTCTTACATAAAAAGCTCTTCTAGGGCTTCCCTGGTGGCGCAGTGGTTGAGAATCCGCCTGCCGATGCAGGGGACACGGGTTCGTGCCCCGGTCCGGGAAGATCCCACATGCCGCGGAGCGGCTGGGCCCGTGAGCCATGGCCGCTGAGCCTGCGCGTCCGGAGCCTGTGCTCCGCAATGGGAGAGGTCACAGCAGTGAGAGGCCCACGTACCGCGAAAAAAAAAAAAGTTCTTCTAAATTAATAAGAAAATGATAGGCAAAACACTGGAAATAGTCACTTATAAATACAAAAAAAAGGCAAGATACAAATGAAAACATTCAACATAATTAGTAATAAATGTATGTATAATAATAAATATTTATATTATAAAATGAAAGTATATATAAAAACATGTATCATATTATGTATGTATATTATGTAAATATGTATAATTAGTAACAAAATATGTATGGCCTTTGCATCATCTTTGAAATTTATAATACCAAATGTTGACAAGTGTGGGTGAAATGAAAAGTCTCACACAGCATTGGTGAGGATGTAAATTGACTGAAAAAAATTACAGAACATTATGGCAAATACTTGAATAATGCATATGGTCTCAAAGCCATTGATTCCAGGCTTACGAATTTATTAGGAAATAATTAAAGCCATGCCCAAAGGTTTCACTATAAGTATGTTTACTGTAGAATTATTTATACAGGTAAGCACTGCATATCTTATAATAAGAATATGATTATGTAAATTGAGGCTGATCTATAAGAACGGACTATATGAAGCTACTAAAAATGATGTTGCCTAAGATTACTGAATGATAGGGAAAAGGGTTCATAATGTATTGTTAGGTGAAAAATGCACACTGCCAAAGAGTGTGGACAGTAAGTTTTCATTTTTGTTTCATACACACACAGAAAAAAACTCTAAAAATGGTCAATAGTGATTATCTCTGGGCAATGGGATCCCGATAATATTTTGTTTGCTTATTTATATTTTTCTAATAATTATTCAATTAATAATAATGACTAACACTTACTGAGTGCTTACTATTTACCAGACACTGGGCACTTCACTTATTAACTAATTTAATGTCACAACAATCCTATGACTTAATTACCACTATTATTTCCAAATGAGGAAAGAAGGCACAGAAAGGCAAAGTAACTTGCTCAGGGGTACACAGCTAGGAAGTGGTAGGACAGAAATTCTAACCCACGAAGTCTGATTCCAAAGCTTTAGTTATTTTTTGTGTGTGATAAGACCAAAACATGACTATTAGTAATAACAAAAGAAAGCTTAAAGAAATATGACTTTAAGGTACAATGATTTAGGATAATCTGTTCAGCTGCAGAAAAAAAAGAATGAAATAGCAAAGGAAAAAAATAAAACCTTTAGAAACAGAAACACCATGACAAAAATGGAGAAATTAAGACCAAACGTGTTAAAACACTTCCGTATGGAAAAGAGGAAAACACTTTCAGAATAACGTTTTCTTTTTTCTTTTTTTTTTTTTTTAAATCCAACAACATGTCACTTTTTACACAAAGCCAGAGGACTTGGAAAGACTGAACATGGAAGCTTGGAAAAGGATCGACTAGGCAAGAGGTCCCTACAATTCTGCAACCAAAGTGGACAGGTTAATTCTCTCTGTGTGGGACAGTTTCTCCCTATATCTTCACATGGTCCATTCCCTCACCCCCATCAGGTCTTGGCTGTATGTCACCTCTTCAGAGAGTCCCTTCCTGAGCACGCTATTAAACCAGAATGTCACCGTCCCCTGGCAGTCCCTACCCCTGTTTCTTGCTTACTTTTCTCTATAGCATTCATCAGCATCAAACACTATTTTCTACTATTTTGTATCTCTAGTGACTAGAACGGAGTGGATACTCAATATATATTTGAATAAAAGCCTACAATAAATGTGGAGGAGAGACAAGGAAGTTGTAAGGAGGACGAGGGAAAGGATGTGAGGGCCCAGTGATCCATTCTCTTTCTTGCTAAACCAGTTTGATTTTGATTGTCTTTCACTTGTAACTGAAAAAGCCCTGAGCAGGGACCATTCAGAAATGAGACAATTTCTCTTAAAGAGATAGGAGTGCCCCTAATTACTACTTCTCCCAAAGTTCTAGTGCCAAGGTGGGCCATCTCTTCTGACTCGTTTACTCAGATAACTGGGAAGGAAACAGTTGCCAAAGAGGACTTATCCAGCCTCTCTGATGGGAACATTGGGGAAGGATTTTTTGCCATTAGAAGGGAATAAAGCAAAAATGTCAGAACAAAGATTTTGCAGCTGACTATGACAGCAACCTTCCAGCACTTTTGTGACCAGGCTTGGTAAGCAGTCCCAAAGAAGAAGCATCTTCTTAAGGAGTCAAAATCTGACAGTGGATGACACATATCTTCTGGGTAAAGCGTGAGAGCCCTTTTAGTGCCCATGGGGCCTGTCAAGCCATATAATTGTGTGAAGTGGGGCAGCTGTAAAACAACAGGGACTGGTGAGGACTGTGGCAAATAGAAAATCCACATCCTGTCTAAAGGGGGTATTAACTATTCAACTGTCCTCATTTTTGCCCTCTAGGTCCAGATTTTTATGGGAAATGTCCTGATTTTTGAAAATATTGGCAACTAATTCTTTTTTCTTTTCTTTTTCTGTTTTTCTTTTTCTTTTTTTTTTTTTTTTTTTGCATGAGGACTAAATAAAACTATCTATGAGGCAGAGCCAATCTACCAGCTTTCCCTTTGTGATTCTGCTTTAGTCTTTCACATTTAGGAGAAAAAGGGAAACATACTTGCTCCCACATTTTGATGGACCAAGCTGTACTGTTGCTTTCAAAGTGGAATTTCCCTTACCAGCCGTCAACACCAGCTTTCTGCAGCTCAGAAATCCCAAATGACAAAGATCCCATGAAGTCATTCCTGCTGGTCAGGTCCCAATCCCAAATCTCTACAGACAGTCTTCTGTCTTTGTCCGACTCTTTCAGCTGGCTGCAAGGAGAAAAAAAGAGAAGTCAGTGGAGGTTATGGTGATTTCTCAAGCGGATGAAATGTACAAGAGGACAAAGCCTGAAGGTCGGAGTTTTTAAGGATTACAAGCTGTTGTAAGAAACATATTCAGTTTCCATCCCAGGCAAGCTCCCCAGGGAGGTAGAGCTTTTCCTGTTTTACAGCAGTTTAAACAGGTGGAGGGCCAAGGCCAGCTCTGACAGGGACAGTTCTAACTACTTCTGCTGCCTTATGTCCTAATAGGATCCATGATGTTCAGGAAATCCTACTGACACAGTCACTGTAAGAACTATAGATGTCAATCATATAATTGTGTGAGTGTTTGCACACATGCGGGTTGAGGATGAGGCTGAGGAAATGTATGAAGGAAAGAGTCTTGATGCTCAGTCTAGGGGAAATTGTTCTAGGGCATGTCCTTGACTGAGGCTGAGATAGGCCCCCAGTTTTGCCCTGAGAGGGGAAAGAAGGAACGAGGCATCACAAGGAATCATGCTTTTGGCCCATGGCTCTTGAAGTCAGACTGTCTGTCGCTGAATCCTGCTCCATTTGTTGTGGGACATTGGCCTGTGTTTTAATCGCTTTAAGCCCCATTGGTAAAATGGGGATGAAATGACCAATGAAGCTAGATCACTTAATACAGTGCTCGTTATACATAGTACATGCTCAATAAATATCGGCTGATATATGTCATATCTGTTGGCCCAGATGCATCAAGAAGTGAACCCACATTATTGGAGCACTAGCCACGTAAAATCCTCCATGGCAGCTGGCAGAGAGCTCCCGGCAAGCTACAGGCCCAGCATTATCCACGCACCCAGCCCTAGAGAGGTCATCCCCACACCCTATGGGTTATGTCCCATGTTTGCCAAGACCCAGAGCTTCTCCCACAATTTGCCTTCACCTAGCAACACATCACACTATTTTCCATCCCACCCACTCTCCCACACCAGAGACATTCTCAGCAGTGTACAAAAAAAAATTCCAATTTTTACTTGGCTTGCAATGCAAAAATGCAGATGGAGGGAGGAAGGAAAGGAAGGAAGGAAGGAGGGAGGCAGGGAAGGAGCGAAGGAAAGAGAAGCTGGGAGAGGACCTCCCCAACCTCAGGTGGCCCACACAACCCAACCTGCACCACCCAGGCTGGGCTGCAATGATTTTAACTTACAATCTAAATGTCTCGTTCCACTCCGGGTTGAGGGAGCACTTGATGGTTTTGGTCTTCTGCTTGCTCTCACTCTTGGGATCAGGAATCAGTTTCAGTTTCACGTAAGGATCTGACAAGCCATTAGGGTCCATAGGTACAAGGTTTTTAGCATCTCTTACTAAAAACAGAAAAAGCAGTTTTAGCATTAATAGCCCAAGACTATTTAAGCACCAGCTACTGATGGTTGTAGAACCTGTGAAAAGATCATTGGCATCACACTTACTTAACGGGAATTTTCATTTATTAACATCAACAGCTAAGAAGCGTACAAAGTGAGATAAACGGAACAGATGTAGACTCTGCTCTATATTGGTTTAAAATTGAGTTCTGACTTTCATACTGCTCTCCCCACTCTGCCCCCTAGATTAACTGTAAGTTCTCTAATCTTATTTTCCAAAAAGTCTACAAGAAAGATTGGCTTCTTCCATCTAGCATAATGCTTTCAAGGTTCAAACACATTGTACTTCATTTATGACTGAATCATACCCGCTTGTATGGATATATCAAGCTTTGTTTATCCATTCAACAGTGGATCAATATTTGGGCCATTCCCACCTTTTGGCTATTGTGAATAGTGCTGCTATGAACATGTGTATACTCTGACACAAAAGGTCACATATTCTATGATTCCATTTATAGAAAACATCCAGAACAGGTAAATCCAAAGAGACAGCAGACTAGTGGCTGCCAGGAGCTGGTGGGAGGTGGAATGGGGAGTTACTACCTAATGGTTATGGGGTTTCCTTTACAGGTGACAAAATTCCTCGGAACTAGATAGAAATGATGGTTGCACAACACTGCTCATGTACTAAATGCCACTGAATTGTACACTTTAAAATGGTTAATTTTATGTTATGTGCATTTTACCTGAATTCAAAAAGAAAAAGCTAAAAGGCAAAGAGTTGCCCTCTGAACCAAAGTGCAACTATTTTCCATGTAGCACCCATAACCAGTACCCAGACAGCCCACAGAGAGAAAAAGAGCAGCATTACCATTAGGCTCCACCCTCAACCAGCAACACCCCGGGTAAAGGAGGCTTAGAGAGGGGAAAGGAAGCAGAGGTCAGCAGTGCAGATGCAACTGGGAATAGGGAGGATAAGGCAGAATAAGACATCAACCTGGAGAAATGGGAAGAAGTTAATTAGGAGTCAGTTCAAAACCAGTAATGCAGGCAGCCAAGGGAAGGAATGTATTAGCAGACTCAATCTGCTAATCAGACTGTCTGCGAGAAGGCTAGTAGATAATGACTCCTACCAGGAATGCAAAGACGGTTCAACCTTAGAAATCTATTATTAAGATATTCATCATGTTTATAGGTCAAAGGAGAAAACCATAGGATCACTGCTATTAGCTAGAAGTAACAGGAAATTTTCTTCACAGGATAAAGGATATCTGAAATAATAGACACCAAAGTTAATGATAAATGCAGTCCCATTAAAGTCAGGAATAAGACAAAGATACCCATTACCACAGCCATCATTCAACATCTTTTCTAAGTATTGCATACGTGTAATAAGATAACAGAAACAGAAATGTAGGGGTAAAGCATCCCCCATTCCCTGCAACCTTTGCTTCCACCCCCATCACCTCCTACCTGCTGCTTATCATCCAGCAATTACACTACTTTCTCTTTTTTTTGTGGTACGCGGCCCTCTCACTGTTGTGGCCTCTCCCGTTGCGGAGCACAGGCTCCGGACGCGCAGGCTCAGCGGCCATGGCTCACGGGCCCAGCCGCTCCGCGGCATGTGGGATCTTCCCGGACCGGGGCACGAACCCGTGTCCCCTGCATCGGCAGGCGGACTCTCAACCACTGCGCCACCAGGGAAGCCCTACACTACTTTCTTAAACTCAGTTTCATGTACCCCACGATCTTATGCCACTTCCCATTTTCCAGCTCATTAACTCTAGTACCCCACTGCTACAGGCCTTTCATCACCAATCAGTCTACTGAGCACAATATGTTTTCTCTTTCTCCCCATTCCCTCTTGCCTTTACTCCATTCACCCCCAATTTAGAGTTTTGGGTGCATTATAATCACTCCCTGAAAGTACTGTCAACTCCCTTACTCCTCTTTCTTTCCATTTTATCTGACAAACACAGCCTTAGTTAAATTCAAATATTTTCCCTTTATTTTCCTACATGCAAGCAGCTAACCACTGCTAGGGATGGGAGTCAGGGGAGGCTCACTTGTCTAAGATCATATAGCTAGTAAAGGGTTGAGATTGAATAAATGAAATGAGGAAAGGGCTGGGTGGACTGTCTGAGGAGTGACAAGGGACCCCGGGACGCAAGTTGTAACTTATTCTGCATTGACACTGTTCTGCACTCTAGTACATGGCCCTTTCTTCCATTTATCCACGGGTTGAATTCATGTTCCACCTCAGCTTGCAAGTTGTATCTCATTTTTGCACCAAAAGCAAGAATTTTTCCTCTTTGATTTGGTTAAGCTCAATAAGCAGGTCCCCGGGGCTTCCCTGGTGGCGCAGTGGTTGAGAATCTGCCTGCTAATGCAGGGCACACAGGTTCGAGCCCTGGTCTGGGAGGATCCCACATGCCGCAGAGTGGCTGGGCCCGTGAGCCATAACTACTGAGCCTGCGCGTCTGGAGCCTGTGCTCCGCAACAGGAGAGGCCGCGATAGTGAGAGGCACGCGCACCGCGATGAAGAGTGGCCCCCGCTTGCCACAACTAGAGAAAGCCCTCGCACAGAATTGAAGACGCAACATGGCAAAAATTAATTAATTAATTAATAAACTCCTACCCCCAACATCTTATTTAAATAAATAAATAAGCAGGTCCCTAATGTGTTAGGCATTCTGCTAGGTACTGGTGACAGGGGGGCCAACATAAGATGTTGATCCTGTCCCCAAGGGATATATGAAACCAAATTTATTCAAAGTATAGTTGATTTCTAATGAGACAGTAGCCAGGTCATATACTGTAGTGGATACAGGGCTATAAGGTGCCAGGGTCTGCATCTTGCCTAGCAGGTGTTTCACATTTTTAAACCTCAAATTCTTGATCAGTGAAATGGAGATAATACATGCCTCATTGGGTTATTATAAGAGTACAGTCAGACAAGGAATATACATGTTTAGCACAGAACCTGGCACCTAGGGAACAGTCAATAAATGCTAGCTATATTATTGCTATTTCACTGTTCTTAAAATTCATATGCAGTGCCCCTTGTGCCACATTTGTCTATTTTTATTATGAAGACTTAACCATTTCCAAACAGACTGATATTAAACAGAACCACTTGTGGTTTTCCTTCTTGAGAATAATGCATCCGACTTTTCCATTTGAACCCTTCTAGAGGAATGCTCCTCAACCGTCAGCGTGGGTAAGGGTCACCTGGAGGACTCGCGAGACACGTATTCCCACAGATAGATTCTGATTCAGTGAGTCTGGAGTGACACCTGCTCATTTGTTTCTCTATCAAGTTCCCAGGTTATGCTGATGCGCTAGCCCACAGAGCACACATTAGGTAAAACTTTCCCAGAGGATATAATTTCTTAATATCCCCATCCATTTCCCCCATGGAATACAATCTCCAACTGTTACTTTCATTTATTGAGCCTTCCAAGGAAGCAGGTGCCAGTTTCTAGGCTGGGATCTTGGAATGACACATCTATCACTCTAGGGAGCTGCATAAAAACATGGTTTGAGATGCTCTGAAGTGCAAGAAACTTGTCTGTCTGGTTGATTGGCAACACATATGCAAGTGGAAACAGCGGCTTTCTTCAAAGACCACGCTCCCTCCTCTGTCTTATGAACTGACACCACAGGACAATCACCAGGACATTCCTCTATTTAAGTTTGCAAACTCACAGCTCTTTCAGAGTGCTCTTTGCAGGACAAGTGTATGTTGTATTCTTGAGCCAATCTCATAACTCATGGTTTAAGAATGACCTCTCCCTGGGCATCTACTTCCCCTGAACCGAACATTCCTAACTGAGGCATGACTCCATCTTTTCCCCAACCCTTATAGAACCCTTTCTTCTACTTCTGTCCTTTCGGGTCTCTCCTCTACCAAAGGGGCCAAAAATTTCTGTGGAAAGGTACGGAACAGAATTGATTCTGGAACTGTTCCTATCTCCAAGAGCTCTGGCTCCTAGAGCCACTGTATCATGAGCAGTTGACAGTAGCTGCAGGCTAAGATCCAAACGCCTGTCCCTCCTGAAGCTTTTCAAAGTACAGTCATGTTTCCCAGCAGCAAGAGAGCTGCATATGTATCGAGAAAGCAAATCTCTCTAGACCACACTTGGCGAGACTGACTTTGATTTTTCTTGATAAATGTTTCTTTACTATCTTTGTTGAAATTCAGCCAGCCCAGATGGTACAAAATGCTTCACACAAAGCAGAAATAGCAACCTTCCCCCCTGGTGGAAGTCTGCTAAGTGCACAGGAGAAAAGTATCCCAATCAAGAGAACATTGCTTGCCTTGGAAGTGAAGCTGGCTGGGGGGTAAGATCTGGCTGTTTCCATCAAAGGGCCTTCAGAGCGAATGAGGCCTCTGCATCCTGGTGCAAGTTACCTAACACGGTGCTGAATCCATAAAAGACAGCACTACTGGTAACTATTTTCCTAAGAATCGTTCTTCACCAAGAACTTTCCTAGTCTTTTTTTTTGAACCAACTATTGGAAAGTCTGAATAACTGTGTTGCTTTATAGCCATTATCCTACAGTGTGTGAACCAGGAGCTTCTCTTTATTAACTCCTTTTGAAGGTCCTTTCTTCAACATCACGAGTCCTCATTTGTCCTCACTACATGTCCTCAGAACAGTTATTCAAAGCAACACACACCAACATTAAGTTATGTTTGAGGATGTTGGCAATGACAAAAAGTAGGAAATAATCGGAGTGCCCATCCACAGGGGAAAGGGTAAATAATCGACAGCATATTCACACTGTGAAATACGAGGTACATGTCAATAACACTGGGCTATCTACATGCACTAACACGTTGAAGAAAACAGCAAGATGAAGATAGACGATTACAGTATAATGCTTCTTTATTTAAGAAAAAGGTCTGAGGACATCAGTGGTTCCATTGATGAACTCTGGATCGGGACTGTGAATTAGATAATAGCATTGGGTCAATGTTACATTTCCTGAGT